GGCTGTGACAGTGCGGGACTCACCCCTGCGGCACCTCCCGCTGGTTGCTCCGGGGATTAGCTCTTTCCAGAGCAGAGCGCCCTCTGCAGGCCAGTGTCCCACTGCCGCTGGCCCCCGTGTCCCTCCCAGGACCTGGTGCCCCTTGTCTTTGGGGTGCTGCCCCCTGGCAATACCCCTGCAGTCTCAGGGTCTCCCCACCCAGGGGAATCCCCAACCCTCTATCCCCACCTTGCCTCAGTCGTGGCCTACTGCCAGTCACCATCTAGCCCCCGCACACTGGGGCAGACTGCAGTGTAAAAGCCACTCACCATAGGCAAGGGGGGTTTGGACCTGCTGCCTCTGCCTACCTGTGGGCTGCCCCCCGCAACCCCAGTACCTAACTGGCCGCAGCCTGGGGGGTTTCCAGGCCGGAGCTCCCCAGCTCCCTTGGCCTTCCCCCAGCCCTGCTCCACTCCAGTACCCTTTAGTACTCAGGCAGCTAGGTCCATCTCCCGCCTCAGCTAGAGGGAGACTGTCTGCTCCTTGCCCACTGCCCTCTTATAACTGGTGCGTGGCCACAGCTGAGGCTGCTTCTCCATTCAGCCTTCCCCAGCCACAGCCCTCTCCTGGGCTGTTTTAAGCCCTTTAAGGACGAAGCGGGTGACCACCCCGCTACAGGGTCCAACCTTTTGCATTCCTTTACAAAGTGTTTTGTAGACATGAATTTAACATACCAATTCATGTCTTTGCTGGATTTACACTTAAAAAACTATACTTGAGTATAGTAACTTTTCATAAACTAAAAAAAAAAAATAAAATGTAGCGTCATTTAATAAGCAACTGGCACCACTGTGTTGAATACATGAGACCTGATATTTTAGAGATGCTCAGCACTCACATTGACTTCACTGGAGGTGTCAGCGCTCAGCACTACTGAAATTCAAGCCCATCAATGTCAGCAAGTTCAGAAGTGAACTATATTTGCCAGTCCCAGCTCCTCTAAGAGCAGCCACCTAGATGAATGCCAAAAATAAGGCAGAAAAAGAAATGAAACGTGATGGAAGTAGAACCGTATTGCTTGCTTGCTTCACATCAGTTTCTATTGTGAGTTTGTCATTTCTGTTTGTTATTGTCCCAAAAATAATTGTTGTCATGGAGGTGAATGATTTAAATAAAGAAGGGCTTATGTTAATTTAACTATGCTAATTAAATTGTTTAAAATAAAGTATATGGTTGTTTTCAATCTCCCGTAACTCGTTTTTTTTTTAAATCTATCATCAAAATATGCTGTTTAAAAAAAACTATTATATGTTAAAAGACGATATACATTCCATATTCCTTTCTATTAAAATACAGCCAAACAACCTAACAGAATTGCTCTGTACTTTTTCTCAAGTATTTTCCCCTAAAATGAATGTTTTGTTATTGCAAACACACGCAAAGGAATTTGACTGAGATAGAGAGTTTTTTTTGTTTTCCCAACTGTTAATAGCTGGTGCTTGCAAACCTGAAATAAAAACTGCTTTCAACAACTGTGATATATCTTATTAGCATGTCAACCCTGAAAACATACCCAGGAGGCCATGATCGATATTTTAATAAGAGATGTCTGATAAGTCATTCAAATCAAAAGTACAGTACCATCAAGTTAGCTACAGGAACTGTTTATGGATGAATCTATAGTAGCTGAGGAGAAAAGAGGCTTCTTTTAGCACTACTTACCAAATATGCCACATAAGAAGATCAAATTTCCTTTGTAACTTAGGGCTTTAACATAAATATTAATCCTACATTTTTGAAAAAAAACATACAGTGAAACTTAAAATTATGATGGGATAAAAACTAAGGCCTTTATTCTCCGTTTAACAGAAAAGAGAACTTTTGCAGTTTTTTAAAATATTTTTAAATGGATGTCATCACACATTGTATGAATGTCAGATCTAATCTGTTCCCTAATTACATAAGTTACATCTCCTGAAAGGATGCAAAATACTGCTTGATGCTCTTGAGTGAAAAACTGAATTTGAATGTGCCACAAGTTTCAAGCTACAGTTTGCAGGCTTTAAGAAAAGGAAAGTGCAGTGACCCAAGAGTTGTGGAAATAAGAAAAAGCACTGCCCTTGGGTGGTGGTGTTTGGGGTTTTTATTGGGGGATGAGGGCTGCTTTTTAGTATATTTACTTACACACACACACACACACACACACAGGGCCGGTGTAACCACTAGGCGAACTAGGCGGCCGCCTAGGGCGCCAAGATTTGGGGGCACCAAAAAGCGGTGCACAAAATTTTTTTTGTACACTACAGTGAAGTCACATCTTACGCGGGGGTTAGGTTCTAAGGTCAGCGCGTAAGAAGAAAATTGTGTATAGTGAAAATTACCATAAAGTACAGTACAGACAGTATACACTAGAACAGGAGTCCTCAACCTATGGCACATGTGCCAAAGGTGGCACGCGAGCCGATTTTTTTTTTTTTTTAAATGGCAGGCTGCGGGTCCCGGCCGCCGCTGAGCCCGCTGCTGGCCTGGGGTTCCGCTCACCCTGGCTGACAGCGGGCTGAGGTCCCAGCCGCCGGCCCTGGGACCCCGGCTGGCAGCGGGCTGAGGTCCCAGCCGCCGGCCCTGGGACCCCGGCTGGCAGCGGGCTGAGCGGGGCCAGCGTCTGGGGTTCCGTCCGCCGGTTCCTGCGTGAACAGAACTCCTGTTCTACTGTATACTGTGTGTACTGTACTTTATGGTAATTTTCACTATACGCGATTTTCCTCTTACTCGCTGACCTTAGAACCTAACCCCCGCGTAAGATATGATTCCACTGTATTCATTTTTGAAAGTTTATAATAAGCGATGCTCCGGGGGGAGGGGAGGGGAGGCGCAAGGGGGAAGTTTCATCTAGGGCACAAAATATCCTTGCACCAGCCCTGCACACACACACACACACACACACACACACACACACAGACACCATTGCTTATAACAGTTAAGGAAAGCAAAAGCACCTTATACATGAGTGAAGCTGGCATACTGAATAGCTTGATGGCTGTACTATATCATTTTGACCTTACTATTTTTTCACAACCCCCTCAGATTGAAATATTATGGGAGAAACCCAATTCTATTTGGATCTATTAAAAAAACTGTCCAGTCTATGGTGGTATCGCTTTGAGGTGCACAGTTTTAATATTGTGGAAAGATTGGAGTGCATAATATTAGGCTCCTTATTTAGGCATCTAAGCGACTGGACTAAATTTCAGAAGTGCTGAGTACATAGCAGCTCTCCTGGAAGTCAATGGGAGCTGCTCTGTGCTCAGTGTTTTTGAAAATTATTTAACTGCTTAAATGTGAATTTAGGAGCCAGATTCTTTGCCCTGAAACCATCTCCTTTGTGCACCACCAAAGCAAGCAGAAAGCTACCTTAATGCTGCTGCTGCTGATTCCCGCACAGAGGAGGAATTGTGTCAGAAATGAGGATAGGGAGGCAGTCCTGGGTAGCTTTAAAATTTCATTAAGGGCTATTTTTGCTTTTAGTTGGCCTACATTTATGCCAGTCTCTTCAGCTGTGCTGAGAATCTGATCCCCAGTTGTTAAAATCTTGAACTTTGCCTGTTACAGAAACTTACTGGTATAACTATATGAATGGTATAAATGATACTCCTGGGGAAATATTGCACCACTGCATATGCACAGAATTCATGTCCCCTGCAGATTTCTTTGCTTCCCCCACAGAAAAATGACTTTCTGACAGGGAAGCAAAGAGAAGCTGCAAGAGCAGTCACGCCGCACCACTCCCTAGCAGCACGGGTACATCATTTCAGGCACCCAGAACAGACAGCGGAGAGGTAAATCACAGTGGGGCTGGGGACACTTCAGCCAGTGGCTCCTAACCCTAAGGCGGGATCAGCTGCTAGTCCCAGCTGGGTTGGAGACAGGGGAGGATGAGGCTTCTTCCTCCCCTGCAAGGAGTGGCTGGGGCTGTTTCAGACCCACCCCCAGAAACTTCCTGCAGCTGCAGGAAGCTCATCATCCTCCCCTGCTTCCTGCCCATCGCTCCTCAGTTGTGGGGGGAGGGGTCACTGTACAGAGGGCTGCTCCCCATCCACACAATCCCCGTGATTCCCCCACCTTCATGTAGCCAGTGGCCTATGCTCCCCTCTGCCATGCTGGAGCCTCTGTATTTATTTATTGGCAAATAAAACGTGCAGAATTTTAAAATATTGTTCACAGAATTTTTATTTTTTTGGCGCAGAATGCCCTCAGGAGTAAAATAAGGAATGTATGTGGGATATGCTCAGTAGCTCTCCATTTTCAATAGATACAGTAAAATGGCTTTGTCAAACCTAGAGAGAGAGAGCAGTCTATTTAATTGTTTCCCTTTATATTTTTAACCAATTGTGGGGCCAGAATTCAAGGTATAATAAAGACTGCCGGTAACCTTTCTGATGTTTTGGAACATCTGTGGTCTCTTTCATGAATCAAGACTACAGATGTCTTTTACCAGAACCGCTTTTCAAGCCTCCAACTGGATGTCTATAAAACAATGGAATCACAATGCAAAAAAAAAAAAACAAAAGTCCAATGAGGTACAGTTTGCAAGCAGGATTGATGTTCTGAAGATCTAGAAATGGTATGTCATAGCTACACTTGCCTTCCTACAATAAGATGTAAAGTTTGCTGCTAAAACCAATTGCTGTGAAATCCAACAAAGGAGATCTGGCTACAGAAAGTGTCTTCATCCCACACACAGCACTTTAAAGGACTTCATACTGTTCTGAGCTTCTTACAAGACAGTTCTAATATGTTTAGGAGAATTTAAGTGAAAACGGGGGAAAAGAAAGGAAGAACCCATGAATTCAGCAAGCATGCTGAAAGCTTTTCAATGGAATTATTCTGCAACTTTAGAAGATTTCCCACACAGTCAAAATACTGTTATCTTCAGCACTTTTGTCATAGTTAAAATATATATGTATACGCGTTTATAAAGACAGACAGATATAATTAGAGAAACACATTAAAACCATGCTCACCTTCATCACTTACTGCCTGCTGTTTAACCAGTGTCATAGGAGATCTGGCCGGGGGTTTACTTAGTGGATGACGCCAACTCTTACATGTTTTCTTTCTTTCAATTTCTGCTAACTGAAAGGGAGAAACCACGTTTAGTTTAGTTGGAAACTGAACAAAACTAATGCTGGTAAGCACGAACATTCTTCTGCTAATAGTATAAAGTATCTACTTTGTTAGATAAATTCTCACATAAGGCATGTAAAAAAAACCTCTCATTGATGGTTCAAAAATTTGTCTGACATTAGTTATTTTGTTAGATCCAGGAGACGGGACAATCTCTCACTTTACTTCAGAAAAAGGTGTGGAAAACAACTTGGTATTAGGACAACATATTAAAAAAACATGCACAGTTTTTCTTCATAACTTTTCACCCATTCAGTTTAGGAACTAAAAGTTAAAATGCAACATTTAAGTTTGTCTTTAAAAAGAAACACAAAGCAACCATTAACATATAATTACAACAAATAAATGCTAAATTTACTGAATAAAGATTAACACTGGCTGAAAATGTAATGTACGCTAGAATACTGCTGTATATTTCAAAACATTTTATCACACTGACTCATAAGGTATTAAATGGAAATGTGCGTGCCATTTCATTTATCTGCACAGCCATGCTATTCACCCTGTGGTGGCTTCATGCAGTTGTCAGTAATTATCATCATATGGGTACTTTTAAAAAAAAAGGGAAAATCAAGTCACAACAGCCTCATTTATCAAGGATCAGTACCAGAGATCACTTCTGGAGTTCGCCAGTCTAGGTAAGGAGGAAAGATAAAGGAGATGACTGACAAAACAATTCACATCCTTGAGAGCAAGAAAACAGCAAATCAAGGCTGTCAGCAGCTACAATACAGAGCTACATACTGTTTACTAAAATACGTGGAGGGAGGAGGATGTTGTGGCTAAGGCTGGGTTTATGACATCAAAAGATGCAACTAGCTGAGCAAAAAAGTAAGGCAGACTGGCCTTCCTAATAGCCTCTGTAAGATAATTCTGTACAACCGTAACACAGAGGAGGTGTACTGGAAAATATTTGAAAAGCCACTTGGGAATGTCTGAGAGGTACCCAAACAGATAAATTAAATATAACCTGTTACACAATATGATCACAACATTGAAAAGATGTTTATAGTACTTAATATTATTACAAGGGGAGGAGTGGTGTCAGGACTTAAATCTCACATCTCTCTAAAAAATTATTAGTGCAATTTTCATGTCTGTAAAAGGGCAAGTGCTGTTTTATTTCTGCCTCTAAATTATATTTCCCCTACTTTGGGTATGTCTGGCAATGCAACAGTCAGTTTTCCTTCCTCTCTGCTAATATCAGAGGCAGGTCCAGTCTGTCATACAGCAGCTACATACTCCTCTTTTCGCTAAGGTCCACAATTGTTCTGCTTCTCTAAGATAATCCTGACTGCCTCTTATCTCAGCATGAGAAAACAGAAATTGTGCATTTTGTAGTGGGTAATAATGAGAAGATTTTACTAAATGTACTAATTAAAAATACAAATTGACACTATTGAACATGAGGACTTCTCCTAAAGGCACCTTAGATGCATCTCGGAAGTCCAAAAGGGATAAGAAGCCTCGTGCCTCCAATACATAACGCCTGTTTCAGATATACCTTGAGGAGTCATTGTACTCTTCGTATGCCTCCAATACCATGTCCTTGCGTTCACCCATCTCAGTGCTAACACAAGCAGGAGAATAAAGATCCACAAGCAAGGGGGCAGACAGAAGCCATAGCTTCAAGTCAGAAATGTGGTCCCAATCCCACTGAGCCCACAGAAAAAAGCCACACTAGCTGATGTAACTAAGAAAAACAAGAGCCTTGTCTCAACCATGCTGCCCCACAGGAGCTCTTCATCAGCTTCTGCAGCAGATGGCCTGGTTGTATCAGCTGCTTTACTTGAGGAAGCCAGTAGCCTATGGGGACCAGTTCCAATGACAAGTCAGCATGTTCCCCACTCCTCTGCCTCATGCCCTTGGGAAGCTATTCCCTCATGAATCCAGCCCACTGTGCTGAAATTTTAACCGGATACTGTACTCTTTCGCCTCTCATTAGACAGTGGTTCATGGCCTTTGATCCTCCATTTGTTCTGGGGTCCTTAACTCAATTTCCTCTTTCTCCCTAAATCAACATCCCACCCACCATCCGTGTATATGGACCACTTCCTGTTGAAGTCCAGGCTCTATCTACGGATCACAAATATCCAAATTATTTTTGTATCATCCTCCTCCATCCAATCCTTCAAACCTCCTTGACATACATGCAAACAAACAAGCAAACCAAAAAAGAGAAATAGTCCATTCTTAGGGCTGGTCCACACTACCCGCCTAATTCGGCGGGTAGAGATCGATCTTCTGGGATCAATTTATCGCATCTCATCTGGACGCGATAGATCGATCCCAGAAGCGCTCCCCCGTCGACTGCGGAACTCCTGCTCGCCGAGAGGAGGAAGTGCTGTCGACGGGGGAGCCTGCCTGCGCCACGTGGACCCGAAGTAGGCACTTTTAGTTCGATATAGGAAACGTCGACTTCAGCTACGCTATTCTCGTAGCTGAAGTTGCGTTTCCTATATCGATCCCCCGCCCCAGTATGGACCAGCCATTAGTGATTCTGATGATCCAGGGCACACTCTAACGGGTCAGGATATTACTCATCTGAGATCTAAGTGATCTTTACTGGAGCCTATTCAGAGTTTCAAAGGTTTGATGAAAACCTTCACTTGTTTTCCATTACCTGACCCTTCCCTCCCCTCCATATATGACTCTTTTTTTTCTAACACATGAAAAGAAAAAATGAGTGGTTTTCATACAAAAAAAATCGAAGAATGAAGAAGGTAAATGTTCCCATTCCTCTCTCACCTCTTGGCTGGAAGAACAGGAGCTCCCTGAAGAAGGGCCTGAAGAAGAAGCTCATGATAGACTTTTCCCATCAATTTTATGATTCTAAGTTATGGAGAGTTCTGAATAAAATGGTTATTCACCTTCTCGTAACTGTTGTTCTTCGAGATGTGTTGTTCATGTCCATTCCAATCAGGTGTGCGTGCGCCGTATGCATGACAGACGGAAGATTTTTTTCCCCATCAGTATCCGCAGGGTCGGCCTGGGCACTCCCTGGAGTAGCGCCTTCATGGTGCCCAATATAGGGCCCTGCCAACCCGACCCCCACTCAGTTCCTTCTTGCTGGCTACTCCAACAGTGGGGAAGGAGGATGGGTATTGGAATGGACATGAACAACACATCTCGAAAAACAACAGTTACGAGAAGGTGAGTAACCGTTTTTTCTTCTTTGAGTGCTTGTTCACGTCGATTCCAATCAGGTGACTCCCAAGCCCAAATTCAGGAGGCGGGGTTGGAGTTTCCACTGATTGGAGCACCACTCTTCCAAAGGCTGCATCGTCTCTGGCCTGCTGGGTGATTGCATAGTGCGTGGTGAAAGTGTGTATGGAGGACCATGTCGCCCCTCTGTATATTTCCTGCGTGGAAACCTGCGCCAGGAACACCGTTGAAGAGGCCTGAGCCCTGGTGGAGTGCGCAGTGATTGGAGGAGCAGGCACCCCTGCCAGGTTGTAGCACTCAAGGATGCAGGACGTGATCCAGGAAGAAATCCATTGAGAAGACATGGGAAGACCTTTCATTCTATCCGCCACTGCCACGAATAACTGGACAGACTTTCGGAACAGCTTCATCCTCTCAATGTAGAAGGCTAGCACTCTGCAGACATCCACTGAGTGAAGCCTTTGCTCCCTGCCGCTCGAGTGAGGCTTAGGATTGAATACTGGGAGGAAGATGTCCTGGTTGATGTGAAATTGGGAGGCAACCTTCGCGAGGAAAGCCGGGTAAGGCCTGAGCTGGACCTTGTCCTTATGGAACACAGTGCAAGGCTCTGATGTCAGGGCCTTGAGTTCAGACACCCTCCTGGCTGAGGTTATCGCTGCCAGAAACGCTACCTTGTATGAGAGATAGAGCAGGGAGTACTTCACCAAAGGTTCAAAGGGCGGTCCCATGAGTCTGGAAAGGACCATGTTGAGGTCCCAAGCCAGGATCGGTTGCCTGACCTGTGGCTATAGCCTGTCGAGACCTTTCAGAAAACGACTGACCATAGGGTTGGCGAAGACCGACTGGCCGTCTGTACCTGGATGGAAGGCTAAAATGGCGGCTGGGTGAACCTTTATTGAAGACATGGACAGACCTTGCTGCTTGAGGTGGAGGAAGTAGTCCAATATAAGGAGGAGTGGTGAGCGTTGGAGATGAATGATGCTGCGCCACCCAGATTGAAAATCGCTTCCACTTGGCAAGGTAGGTCGCCCTGGTGGAGGGTTTTCTACTGCCAAGGAGGATTGTCTAACCTGGTCCGAGCAGGCAAGCTCCATCGGGTTCAGCCATGGAGCTTCCACGCCATAAGGGGCAACGACTCGAGGTTCGGGTGCTGAAGGCGGCCATGGTCCTGAGTTATTAAGTCCAAGAAGAGCGGCAAGGTGACTGGGGCTTCCACGAACATTTCCAGGAGCAATGTGTACCAGCGTTATCAGGGCCAGGCTGGAGCTACCAGTATCATTGAAGCTTGTTCCCTCCTTATTTTGAGGAACAGCTTGTGAATGAGTGGGATGGGAACACGTAAAGGAGATGGTCTCCGCACAGGAAGAGGAACGCATCCACTAGAGGAGTCCGAACTGTGGTTGTATAAGGAGCAAAACTGCTGGCGAACAGGTCTATCTGGGGAAACCCCCACTGTTGGAAGATGGAGTTTGTGACATACGGGCGCAGGGACCACTCGTGGCTGTGGAATGACCTGCTGAGGTAGTTCGCCAACTCATTCTGTACTCCAGGGAGGTACAATGCTTGCAGATTAATCAAATGCTCTACACAGAAGTCCCACAGCATGAGGGCTTCCTGGCACAGGGGAGAGGAGCATGCACCCCCGTTTGTTGATATAAAACATCGCTGTGGTGTTGTCTGTCATAATCGATACACAACTCCCTGTTAGGTGGGCTCGGAAAGTCTGGCACACCAGGCACACCGCTCTCAGCTCTCTGACATTGATGTGGAAAGCCAGATCCGCC